ATTTATTATTTTAGAAATTTTTTTTTAAATTTAAAATTTCCAAGCTATTATGCCAGCGTCAAAGGAAAGAATCATATCTAAGATCTGCGGACGGCATTAGTGTTAATGCTGCGATTACGTGGACAGAGCAGCCAAAGTTGATCGTCTTCGCGTAAAACGTCAGACAGTGGTCGTCGTGGGAGACATACGCCGTCGGACACGTTAATTTCCGCGAAAAACGAGAAAGAAAGTTGTTAAAACAAAGGCGACGGTTTTTTTTTCTCCGAGAAAATTCCCCGGACAAAAGAAAGCAAATATTAGGGGTACCGGCGAAGCCCAGGTTCTGCAATCCGGTTTTTCGTCTCGGTTTTCGTCGTTAAAGCGATCCGGAATCGCGACGGAAAATTGAACGTCCCTTTAAGGGCAGGTTGGCGGCGCGCGAGGGCACTGGTTGGATTCGCACGATTCTAAAGAACTCCCGGAATGCCAGGCTCGAGTTGTAGCTTTCGTTTGCCGCGCGTGCAATATTTAATAGTCCAGCTCTGCAACAGTCAGGGTCTTCAGTGAACCCTACGAGACGACCTCCTTCCGAGACACTCGCTGTCGGGAAATGAACTCGTGAATTCAGCGATCTCACGGATCGGGAATGTGGATTGCGCGTGGAACCTCGGCGAAGTCGATGTGATATCTTTGGAACCACGAATTTCGGCTGCGAAATATTTGTCCTCGCTTTCCGCATATTAGTTTCTACAGCCCGATCGAACTTCGGAGACACGATCGTTTTAATCGTCGAGGACGATGCACGGGTTGCTTTTAATCTAATTCTTATAATGTCGGAAACATTTAACGCGAAAAACCTTTAGGCGACAATTTTGCAAAGATTGGAATAAGATATTTTTGTTTCGTTGGCGAAGATTTTTTGTGATATGAATATAACAGAAGCAATATTTATTTATTCCTTGTGATATGAATATAACAGAAGCAATATTTATTTATTCCCTGTGATAAGAATATAACAGAAGCAATATTTATTTATTCCCTGTGATAAGAATATAACAGAAGCAACATTTATTTATTTCTTGTAATAAGAATATAACGGAAGCAACATTTATTTGTCTTTCTAAAACCCCTGGCAAAAATTTTCCGATTATATACACTAATGTACAATTTACAAAGAATGTTCGCATTTTTTGGAGTTATAAAATGTTCTTATATGCAAATAAAGTAAATGAGTACAACATAACACAGTCTTTAATTGATTATAAAAAAGAAAACCACAGAGAAAACAAAATGTTACGTAAAAGAAAGTTTCCGATTCGTACAAATGTTGAAGAAAAGTTTCCGATCATTGAGTTATTAATATTTTCTGAAATTACCACGTGCTCGTACGACGCTTTTAATGCGTTGGGGCATCGACCTTGCTAAGTTTTCGCAATCCCTAGGCGAAATATCTTTCCACGACGATTTTATCGCACGTCGAAGTTCCTCTTTAGTTTTTGGTTTTTCCTCGTGAATCAATTTCTTCAATTTTGCCCACATGTTCTCGATTGGGTTCAAATCCGGGCTGTTCGCAGGCAACTTCAATGTTTTAATACGATTTTGTACTAAACAGATTTTTACTAATTTTCTGCGGTGACAGCTAGCGTTGTCATTTTGGAAAATGAAATTTGAAGAATCTCCGAATCGCTTCTCTATGCTTGGAATTAAGAAATCTTCCAAAATATTAATATATGTTCCTGCGTTCACGTTCTGGTATACAACGCATAGTTCTCCCACTCCCTTTTTCGTTATACAATTCCGTATCATATAAGATCGCGGATATTTTTGTTTACAATTCGTGCAATCTCCGTTAAATTTTTCGTTAGATCTCCGCCAAACGAATGTTTCTTCGTCATTCCCTGCTCCAAGACGAACACGAGACTCGTCGCTAAATATTACTTTGCACCAATCCTCCACATACCAATTTGCGTGTTCCTTACACCACTTTAAGCCTTTCTTCTCGTATTCCTTTGCGAGCAAAGGTTTTGTTTTTGCCTTTCGAAATGAGAAGCCCGCTTCATTTAATCGATTTTTGACAGCACGGTCACGGACGCTCGAGATCCACCGTTCGTTTGTTCGTTTTGACGTAGCTCGGCTCGTATTTTTAGCAATTGCGCGCAATTTTCTACCGTCTTTTCTACTCGTTGCACGAGGACGACCACTTTTCTTACGGTCAGATACACTGCCTGCTTCGTTATACTTCTTTTTTATGTCACTTATCGTACCCCGACCACATCCTATAATTTCTGCGACTTTTCTTCGACTGTTACCTTGCTCGAGAAGTTCGATTACTCTCAACTTTAAATCGTTCGGATACAACTTACACGATGGCATACACATTGCACGCATCCGTCTTACTCATCCACCGACTGAAATGTTTTGTATTTCAGATGCCTCGGCGGTAAAAGCGTTTGTTTACATTTTCACAGGCACGAGTTGTGTTTATACGTTCGCCTCCTCCGCTCGAGACATTCGTAGAGCTAGTTATTCGAACCATGATCGGTAGCCTTTTTCCAACATTTCTGCCGATCGGAAACATTTCTCCGCACAACATTTTGCTTCCTCCGCGGATTCTTTTCGATAACGAATGAAAAATTGCGTTATTCCGTATTTATTTGCTTTATTTAAATCCCGCCTATGTTCTCTATTCCGCATAGAAAGAGAAACATTTTACAACCCTGAAACGCGAATATTCTTCGTAAATTTTGCGTAAGTGCATACGATCGGAAACTTTTTGCCGCGAACAATATTTCGTACCCGAGAATCAGTTCTCAAAGATGACGATACATTGTATTTCCAAAGGCTCCGTTCACTTTATTCATTAAGACGCTCTTTGTCCGTCGAGACCGCCCTTTTTTCGATCCTCGCCTAAACGAGACTCATGCTACGTATCCACGCGTGTAGACTCCAGCCAGTTATGCACTGTGGAAGCGTCACGCTGTTGCAGAGTAAACTGTCGGGAGATGAATCTCAGGTGTGCCTATTTGTGTGCAAATGTGTGCGTGTGTGTGTGCGCGCGCGCGCGCGTGTATGTGTCGCTAGAGAGTTCTACTACACACGAGAGCGATGATACATCTTCACGCGTGAACAACTCTCGAGAGTAGAACTACACTAATGAACGGAGGCCTGGAAACGACGTTCGGTCGGCTATTACGCTCAAAGCGAGTGTAGTTTCTACTCTCGAGAAGTGTGATGCACAGGTGTTCACGCTGAAAGCACAGGCAGAAACACGTAACGTCTACTCTCTCGACAGCGATCCCCGCGTGGACGGTCATTATCTGCGCGAGTAGAACCACGCGATGCTTCCACCGCTGACTGTGTAATTCGCAGTTGTCGTCGCTTAAGCGAGCAGAGCGTAAACGGCTCTGTGCTGTTTTTATCAGCTTCGGATATCTACCATTTTCTGCCGTTAAGTGTAATTCACTGTAACTCTTACGTGAGACGCTCATTAATCCTCCCGAGGACTCGCGCTCCTGATGATTTTATGATTGTCAACGATGGAACTACCGAGCCCTAAACGCGACTCGTGTACATTGCAACAATGCCAAGATTTCGTTTATTTAATTTTATTTAATTCTGTTTAATTTTATTTAATTTTATTTAATTTTGTTTCATTTTATTTAATTTTATTTAATTTTATTTTCGTTTATTTAATTTAAGGTCATTTAAACTTCGTACGATTTATATTGGAATACGATAGATTCTGCCTAATTGACGCGCTCGGATCGTACACAAAACTAGACAATTTGGAAACAGAGATACGATTGTTTACGTCTTGCGATTCATTTTTATAGTTAGCGACTGTCAACAACCATAAAAACGGGCCGCAAGGCGCGAACAATCGTATCTCATTCTCAAATTGTTCTATTTTTGTGTACAATCTGTGCGTCAATTAGGGTTAATTTACTGTTCAGGGTGTCCCAAAAATGTCTCGCAATCCGGAAATGAGGAATTCTTCAGGTTATCCGAAGTAACTTTTTCCTTAGTGAAAATGCAAACCACGGCCAGATAGTTATAGTTAGACCGCGGATTTTTACGCATTTATGGCAGATTTTCGAAACGAAATAAAACCTTGAATTAACTATTATTATCTATTAATTAACAAAGTCTAATAGTATTTTTATTTTCTCTTCACAATAACTAATCTTGTAGTCCACAAACGGAACTTTTCCTTTCACTCGAATTTCTGTAAAATGATGTAAAAAAATGCACCTGAATTCGCGGGCTAGTTATAAGATTGCTTTTGCGTAGACTTCGTGCAATTTTTGCTACAATTTGACTGCGGAATCGCGCACTTATAAATGCGCGATTCCGCAGCCCAATTGTAACAAAAATGATTAGAATAAGTACTGGCCGGGCGAATTTTGAAAGCAACGAGAAACGTTCGAAGGGGCGTTAAAGAAGACGAGAACATTAAAACGCGGCGCTAACTTATTGCGCGATGATCCGATGCTTCGAACGGAGCCCGAAAGAGAGCCACCCCTAATCTTGCTCGCCCGTGGAGACGCGGCCTAACGCCTCTCGCGTCCTCTATCTCTATACCGCGCGATTCACCGGGTATCACAAAGGTATGCCCGTGAAAAGCTCGGCGCGCGCATAAAGGGGAAGAAAAATGGAAACGATTCGTCGTCGTCGTCTTCGTCGATGGAGCGGGTTCGAGCGTTAAAGCGGTCGCGCCGCACGAAAAATTACACCGACAAACTTTATACGCCGGCTCCTCGTTTCTCTCTTTCTCGCTCCCTTTGCCCCGCATTATATTCTTTCGTTCCATCTGCCCCTCTCCCTGGTCCCCTCGCTCTCTCTCCCACCCTCTTTCCCTCTCCCTCTGATTTTTTCCCGCTCTCCGGTAGTGCCCTCTCGGTCGCCCCGTCACCGCGTTCTCTCCGTCTTTCTCGCGCGCGGGTCTCGTGAATCGAATTAGCCGCGTGCTTCCCCGGGCATTAATCCGAGAGGTTCTTCGGCCCCTGCCGCGAGGTAAATACCTGCAGGACGGGTGGCGAGCGGGAGCATATCGCCTGCTGCTTGGCGGTCAGGTGCACGCTCTTGCAGTTCTTTTCGGCGCTCGCCGGGCCGATCACACCCGCGCCGACGATCTGTGCCTGTCCGTCGGTGCTGCTGCCCTGGGCCGATCCGCTATTCAGCCGGGGCTCCACTCCCAGGTACCTGAAACAATCCCGGAAGCGTTCGACGCGTTATTATTATGCTACGGCCCAGCCCGGTCCCCTAATCGACCGGCCGACGCCGATGCCTCGATCGCGCTAGAACATCCCTGCGATCGACCCGCATCGGCGACGCTCGTCGAAACACCTTTCAACGACGAATCGAATCTTTCAGGCTCGGAGGTTACTCGTTAAAATTTAAAAAAATACTTTTTTTTAAATCTATTACAATAAATTTATTATGAAATCGTAATTGAGATCTTACCCTTCGATTTAAGATCTTTATTCATCACCATAATTTAAATGTCTAATAAAAATTCATTATATTTCAGAATTTACACATATTTCCCATTAAAAATTCATTGCAAGGTTAAATTTCTTAAGAAAATTCAGATCACGTCGCATTCGGTCGAATTTTCGAAATATCGCACTTTTTCAAGAGAGAAGCGAATCTTTTAGACTCGGAGGTTACTCGTTAAAATATTCGCTTTTTGAAGAAGTGCGATATTTCGAAATTTCGACCGAATGCGACGTGATCTGAATTGTCTTTTATGTGTCGGAGATAGTTGCATTTGGTTCGAATGACAGACGAAAATCGAAATGTTAAGAAATTTAACTTTGCAATGAATTTTTAATGGGAAATATGTAAATTTTGAAGTATAATGAATTTTTATTAGACATTTAAATTATGGCGATGAATAAAGATCTTAAATCGAAGGGTAAGATCAATTACGATTTCATAACAAATTTATTGTAATAGATTTTTAACAGAATTGAATTCTTGAACGTAATTTCATCTAAACAATCTCAAATTAATCTAAATCTTCATTGAAGATCTATTAGCATTTAAAATTCTTATTCAGAATTTATTGAAAAACGCATTACAATTTAAATTCTATTTATATAAAAACGCATTACAATTTAAATTCTATTTAAAAACTCATTACAATTTAAATTCCATTTAAATAAAATCTATTTAAATTAATTTCCCATTTAAATTGTAATGAATTTTAAAATAACTTCTGAATAAGAATTTTAAATGGTAACAGATCTTCAATGAAGACTTAGATTAACTTTGAAGTGTGGGGTGGAAATTGTAGGGTGAGATTATGATTTCATACAAAATTTCAGTTACAACGAACTCTGTAAAATTTGTGTTCTCTTTCAAATAATTCGAATAAGTTGACAAATTAAGACGAATACATTTTATTATTTTTACATTTCTGCCATCCGATTTTATGGCGAATTCGTGAAATCCGCGAGTCTACGCGCAAGATCGGCAAATAATCGAGACGCGATGCTGACCATCGGAAAAGGACGATATTTCCGCCATTGATCCGCGTACATTGGCGCTCATTAAGGGATAATTTATCTAGAAAGGAGAGCTGGGGCAGGCTCGTCGAGGTGATATCCACGCGTACGTCGCTGTATTTACAGCTCCATTGTTCCGTCGGGGCCCGGGGAGCGCAACAATACACGGCGAAAAGAATACTGTTTAATTTCAGTGGTTCTTTTAGCCGCGATACGGTTGTTACGAAACAAGCTGCCGCTGACCGCAACCGACCGCTTCTCTAACAAGTACATACCTCGCGCTTGGCCAGCCGGCGAAGGTCAATACGGAATTCAATGGAATCCGTGTAAAAGCCGCGTAGGGGCAAGGGACAATGTTTTAGTACCAATAGTTCATACGACCGGGTGAAAGTTCCCCGGGCTTGTTACACAGAGAAAGCGTGTCAAATTCAATTCGCCGGGATGTTCGATCCGTTGCACGGGTGGTCGGCCGCTTCGATAGAAAGTCACTGCCGGCACAATTATCGAATTTATTTGATGCCGGCCCGGTAATAAGCACCTGCTGGCAGAACCTATACGCTCTTCGCTCGACGATTGTTGCGTGGAAATATTTGCGACCCAGTCGCCGCGGACGGGCCCTAAGCTGCTTTCCCGTCTGATCCTTTTCTAACGCTCGAGAAGCTAATCGCTTCTTTGGGTACAGTTCTTTCGAACATTCTGCTCATAAGACGATATGTTTGATCTTTGTATTAGTCTTGGTTAACACTTTGTCCCATCGGGATAATAGAATTTTTAATAGTAATTACATTAATAGAATTCTGAATAGTAATTTTAATAATATAGAATTTTGAATAATAATTCTATTAATAGAATCTTTGAGTAGTAATTCTATTAATAGAATTTATAGTAGTAATTCTATGAATAGAATTTTTAATAGTAATTCGATTGATAGGGATTTGAGTATTAATTCTATTAATAGAATTCTGAATAATAATTCTATCGATAGAATTCTGAGTAGTAATTCTACTGATAGAATTTTAAGTAGTAACTGTATTAACAGAATTTTGAATAGTAATTCTATTAATAGAATTTTTGAGTAGTAATTCTATTAATAGAATTTTTGAGTAGTAATTCTATTAATAGAATTTTTGATAGTAATTCTATTAATAGAATTTTTAGTATTAATTTTGTTAATAGAATTTTTGAGTAGTAATTCTATTAATAGAATTTTGAATAGTAATTCTATTAATAGAATTTTGAGTAGTAATTTTATTAACA